GCCGTGTAATTCCTCATCTTGGCGATGTCAATCGGCCGCCGAGATCGTGCGATTTCACACCGTTGGACTTATTTTTGAGGAGCTACTCGAAAGACGGTGTAAATGGGGTGAAATCCTTAACTCTTTAGCACGTCAAAACCAACACTAAGGGGTTACATAGGTCTTGAAACTTCAAAAAATTATTTTTTTTTTTTAAATATTTTGTATAAAAGTAAAGAGTGTCAGGAATATTTTCCCCAAGTTTCAAGTCGATCGAGACGAAACCGTAGAAATCAGAGAGATTTATAACCCGCTGTCTTTGTCATGGCTTGACCGATGGCGAGACTTTAAACTCGTTTTACTACATTATCGAAATCAAAATTTTTCAACGACTATTGAAGCGATCGAGTTCAAATTTTCAACACCTCTTTTAAGCATGTTTTTGTAGTCCATGAACGAACGATTTATTTTATTTTTGATTTCAACTCATTTTACAAGCCAATATGTGGCCTACTTTTATGCAAAAAATTACGTTTTTTGTAAAAAATGTTTATTAAATTTTTAATTTTTTTAATTTTTCTTCATTCAGGGACAAGGAAAATTCAACTATTTAAAAAAAAATTGGGTTTTTGATTACAGATAAAAATTGTAAAAATTATCACGACTACAGCGATAGCACTTTCTTGTGGCTACTTCACGAAACTGCCAACGCCTTAATTTAAACTATTTTTCATTCAAGTTTTCATCAAATGATGTCCACATGTTGTAAGCATTATTTAGTATGTCTTAAAAAATTAGAGAAAACAAGCTTTTTTGGCCTTCGAGACCCCTTAAGTTATGGCTGAGACTCCGCTCAATATAAACCAAAGAGTGATGGAAAATTGCATCAAACGTAGTCAAACGCGGTGCGGTCATTTGAATAATTTAATGTTTCACATATAGAGGCCTATTCTGTCGAGGTAATAAAATTTGTTTTGTAACAAAATTTTACCATTCAGTAAATTTTGTTATTATTTCGTATTCTGAGTCCGCTGTCACCCTGTATAAGCGAAATAGGGGGTAACAAAATATCTGTTGTTTGATTTTATGTTGCTAGTTTGTGAAAAGTGTTGTTAATTTTGGAAGAAAGCATTTTCATTCAGCATCTTTTTTTGTCGTCTGGCATACTTTCCCTAATTATTTCCCTAAAAAAAAATTGTTTAAGGCATTTTATTTACTTTTAATTTGGAAACTTGAAACTTCAAAATGGATAACCCTGTAAATTTAACCTTGCTTTCATAACGACATATAAATGTGTTAGTATAGTTATGTCATGGGCATGTTGAATGTAAATGTAAACACACAGCATCCAGACATTGTTGGCGTACAGACTTAACAGGAAAAATTCACAAACAACAATTCGGCATTTATGATAAAACGATGAAAGGTTTTCCAAGTGCCAACCAAACAACGGCTTTTAAAGGTAAGTGAGTAAAATAACAAAAGTTTACGATTGAAAAATGAAAGTGTATACATATTTTAAGGCGCCATTGTAGCTTTTTGCAATTAAATATTTACGTGTCCTTCAGTAGATTGTACATGTAAAAAGAAGTCTCGAGAAGTATTTAAAATATTACTCATATGTAAGGATACAAAATTCTTGTTGTTAAAAAAAAAAATTATGCTTGTACCAAATTCATCATATCATCATAATACAGAATTTTGGTTTCGAACATTTTCTTTAATTCCTCCGGGTAAAATCATTTTTTGTCTTATTTCGTTCAGCTTTGGTGGCAAATTTTCATGATGCCTAAAAAAATATATGGTTCCGTAGTATACCAATATTATGTAGATTATTGAGATTATCATATCGTAATTATACTTTCCAATATTCAATTACCAATTATCACAATATTTACATAATATATTTTATATGCATCACTCGACAGATGTTTACCAATAGCTAATTGATGTCAATAAACAATTGGAATTATTGCTCATATACTCATATGTAAATATGCTTGTTATGACACCAACTATAGCTAAAAATGTTAATATCATCAAAAATGCTACAAAGCTTTAACAGAAAAGGTTTAGGCAAGGTCCAACACTAATTGCATACACCCTTCAAAAAAAGGGGTACTCATGCATGCATCGTAATCGAATAATCCAAAACTAACCACAGTCCATCCAAAAGTATGATCCTAGGAACATTGTGATGTTCTAAAGCTGTACCATATAATCCCTTTCTGCCTAACACCCGGTCGAATCAGTGCTAACATGACGGTTGGACTGGACAATTTTTATTTCGCGAACTTTTAATCATTTTCGTGGACATCGGAAAACTACCCCTAGTGAGGATAAAACTATTATCCAATTAGTTATAACAGATCCTTTTATATCGGTAGGGTCAATACAAAATGAAATGGGCTTTGATATTAATCTCAGATGCATCAAACTCGATGCAACGTACAGATGTACGAAAAAACCATTAATTTCATCTTACAGTCGCAAGGCATGGCTTCAAGTTGCGAGAGCACGAAACACAAGGGGTTACATAGGTCTTGAAACTTCAAAAAATTAATTTTTTTGATTATTTTATTTTCATTGGTTTAAATTATTTTTTCTGTAGCTGAACAATTTTAAGTCTCGATGATTAACAAAGGGTTCCCAATCATGACTCGGCATATTCCGTACGTTATGCGGATGTCGCCCTAGTGTCGGTTGAGCAGGTGGAAGTATTCGTTGGGCTCATTTACCGGTATCACTTCCCTGGCCACAATGCAGTTATTCCATAAATACATACATATAAATATATAAAGATTTCCCCAAATTTACACAAGCTTAGAATTGAATACAAAACACAGTTTTTAGTTTTTCGATTGCATTTTTTATTGAACCTCAAAAGCACATAGAATAGGCTTTCGAGCACTGAATTTTTTGAATTTGATTGACAATTTTGCAGAAATGTGAGTCTTCCTCTTTGAAGCACGTATGGCTGTGGGCTTGTTTGAATTGAACAGTGATTTTAAATAGCCCCAAAAAAAGAAATCTATTGATGTTAAATCACCCTATCTAGGGGACCAATTCTGAGCACCAAAAAGGAAGATTACACGACACGACGTATTTCACGTGCTATTTAGCATACAGGACTGTCTTGTTGAAACCACATATTTGCCACATCAACTAATTTCAACAAAAAGAACTGAGTTATCATGTCGCCCAATATCGAACACCAGTAAGAGTCACTGCATTACTAATTTATTTTCAGAAAAGTATGGTTTAAGTATATCACCATCACAAAATCCACATCAAACGTTGATACGTTGTGTATGCATTTGTTTTTCGGTAATTACAGGTGGGTTCTCAAAACCCCAAAAACGGCAGTTAAGGCAAATAACAAACAGATCAAGGTACAAATGTGCTTCATCCAATAGATAATTTTTCACGAAAAATCAACTTCCATTTGCTTCAATTGAATTTTGTTAGCATGGAAACACAGATCTTTTGTGAGTATACACTATAGAGAGCATCTTGAAATTTGATTTGAATTTCCTGGAATGTCACGCACTGCCGGATCCTATCTCTTGAAATTCTTCTTTTCAGAAGTTAAAACACCATTCCGCCCACAGTTTGTATAAAATTTGCGAATTGTGGCCCCAACCAAGATTTTATCTATTTTTAAATATTGTTCAATAATGAAGACCCGTTGTTGCATTGTGTAACATTTAATTTTTACAAAGCCTGAACTGCAAGCTCTCTAGTTGTGTTTCTTTAGGGTTGACAACACTTTACTATATATGTAAATGGCGGCAAATGTAAGTCTTGTGTTCATTTTGGGGCGCCCTGCCACTATATGAAAATATTCAAATGGTAGGAATCAAAAATTTACGCTCCGCCGTGATAACATAAACATTAATAAGCAGGGCTCACTCACTATCACTCATCATTGCTTCACTAAACTCTCTTAAGCTATACAAATAAATATTGTAATTTTTATATTCAAAGTACGTCTTTTTTATTTCTGCTAAAAAAAATCTGTGTGTTTAAGCCATACTTTGCTAAATACTTCTTCCAAGCGGTTCATTTTTTTCATTATTCTTTACATAAAAGGAGCTTCCTAATATTTACAATAAAAAAGCTTCGCTGTCGCACATACTCATTGAAAGCATGAAAAATTAACTATGCGATTCTTTTTATTATATTATAACTTTATTTATAACTTTATTGACTTCCCGGAGAGAAGAGTGGTTTTTCTGTTCATCTAAGCGAAAAGCCATTTATGTATAAAATTTCAAGTAAATCCAGCCATAAACAAACTTCTTTTGATTAAGTTAGTCCTCGGTCCACCGCTCAGAGTTGTAGTCTTCCTATTAATCTAAACAAGAAGCCACCTATGTACCGAATTTCAAGTAAATCCAAACATAATTTTTTGAATAAATCCGTCACTGGTCCTCTTCCCGGAGAGTCTTCCTATTAATCTAAGCAAAATGCACCTATGCACCGAATTTCGAGTGATGGGATCCATCCCTGGTCCACTTTCCGGAGAGAAGTGTAGTCTTCCTAGTCTAGACGAGAAGCCACCTATGTACCGAATTTCAAGTAAATCGAACATTAAACAATTTTTTTTTGAACAGGTCAGTCACCCTTCTACTTCTCGAAAAAGTTTTTGGAAAAAACCTTCTCGGGAATCATAGATATAATCTGTCGAAATTTCAAGTCATTCGGTTGTAAACTTTTAAAAAAAACACCCGTTCCGAGAGAACATAAGCGGTTTTTTTCGTTTTTTTTTCGAATAATTCAGTCCCCGGTCCATTTCCCGAATTTTTTATTTTGTGAACCTTTCCGGGAATCTTGGAAACAATCTGACAAAATTTCATTGACCTGAAACGGTCGGTAACTTTGGGAGATTTTTTGAAATTTCCGCATTTTTCCAAACGGGCATAATATTTTTATATATAAGCTTGATGATTGGTAACTATACTTTAAAAACCAAATCTCATTTTTTGTACATTAAACCACTCAACATTTATTTCCAGCAATTTAAATTGTGTAAAATTAATAACGTCATAATTATTTATAGTGGACATCAGTCTTTAACTCTTTCCTTTTATAATTTACGTACTCTTATTTATATGTATGTATCTTATATTTGTAAATAATGCATATTTGTTACTAAAAGTATATTTTTTTATTGTTTCCGTAACCGCTACTCATATATTTATTACTCTAAGTGCGCTTAGTTTCGACGCATATGTTTCAATAAATTAAGCAGAGTGCTGAAATGTTGTTTTGTACTGCAAATAAAAAATAACAATAATAATAACAATTGACAATTTGTCGATTTCGGAAAACAATAACAAATGAAATTCTTTCATAACACTCACATCACACCCACACGTTTTGCCTCTGGAACTCGATTTACGCCCAGTAAGCCACTGCTCTTAAAAATTTCCGCATTTCTGCCTTCGATATTGTGCTTGTTCTGAACGCCCTCCGCCCCACCAACCTGCTGTTCGCCAGCGCGATGATCCGTTTCCAATTTATTACCCTTTAGAAACCAAAACTCATGCAGTGGTGGTTTGTCAGGTGACTCTGTAGTCGTCGTCCGCTTACTATCCGCATCAGCCAAACTCAGTAGCAGCTCCTCACCTTCACCGCCACCATAGAATAAGACATAGGAAACTTTTCGTTTTTTAATTTGAGTAAACTAAGTTATAATTTAATTTAACCCACACACTTACGTATTTCATTTAATAAATCCTCCGTCAATTCTTCTTTCCCCTCGTCTTCCGGTGGCATTTCAATGAAAAATCCATCCATGCGCACACGTAAATTCTCATGACCCTTTTGTCGTTGGTCGTAATGCAAATCATAGTTGTTGTCGTTATCGCTTAGTGATAGAAGATCGAATAGTTTAGCATCTGCAGCGCCTCTGTGTTGAGCTCGCGCAACTGCAGCATCAACCAACGCCGTGCGGGCTACGAACGTCAGCAACGTGAAGACAAAGAGTCTATTGGTGAATTTACACATTGCAGTATAAGTAATGGGCACTGTTAGATGGCAGTATATGCTTGTATGTATGTATTTTCTTGTTCTTGAAGCTGCAGCTCGTTTTACTGTTTACAAGCGCTCAAAACATCCAGTTGGTTGGCCGACTCGAGCACAAATGAAAATCTTTGCTGCAACCGTGGTTTCTAGAACTAATCTTTTGCGTTTATAAAAATATATATATACGAGTATAAACAGAAACGTAAGTACACAAATGATGACACATGGATTGTTGTTCTTCTCCAAATCGTTAGTTGTTGTTGTTCTTTTTTCATATTTATTGACTGCGATTTGAGGTTATTAAATCCAAGTTATAAAATTCATAAGACTCATCTTTAATAATAAGTAAACGGCATTATATAAAACCATTGCTAATTAAAATTCGGAAGGCCAGAGCATAAGTCTAGAGAAAACTTTAGACATAAGCGCGTCTCAAATATTGTAATATAAAGAAAAAGGAATGAAATATACCAATTCGTAGGCCGAGAAGTTCCTATGCTTACGCAAAATAAGGCTGATCATTATGGCAATACTGAAAGACTTGATATAAAGCGATTTACTAATGGAAAACCTCAAAGCTCCAGTCGAATTAGATTTATAGAAATAGAAAATGTTTAGCTAAGGCAAAGCCAGAAATTTTCCGGAAATTGGCATTTAAACTGCCCGCGCTGAATGTTTTTCAACAGTTTTTTTTTTCTAAGTTGGTAGCACTGTCCTAAATTCCTAAGTCAAAAACGAGCGCGATCTGTCAACCAGTTTTTTTGTTGAAATTAGTCGACATCAGTTTTCTCTGCGAATTTTCTTTTACGAACTCAATCGAGTCGAAATGGGTTCTACGGAGTGGTAACTTGAGTTTTGGAAACCAAAAAAAGTCGAATGGGGGCAAATCCAGTGAATATGGTGGTTGATCGATGGTATTGAACGAGTTTTGGAGCTTAAAATCGTTCCCAACTACAGCTCCTTACGATGGCGCATTATCGTCATGAAAACTCCCGGATATAGTGGGCCCACTATTCCGGCCATTTACACTACAGGCATACAAAATTTCAGCATGGATGATGAATGTCAGTTACTGGTTCCCAGTAACCGAAAGCGTCAAACTTAGTGCAAATATGAAACAAGAAAGCCGTCGGCCGTGCCAAGGTCCTTAGTATAGCAAGGGCTATATCAAATAGACTTTCGATCTAAATGCTTTTCGACGTCAATATTTATTTAAATTTCAGTGTATAAAATACGAAATGCATTTTAATGCTTTTTTTTTTTTGGTCGAATTCGGGACCCTAATCTCAAATATGAAAAATCGGGGTTATAGTAGTACGATCTGGGCTATTCCGACGAACGAACAATATGCTATTTAAATATGAGTACTTCAGACCACGGTTAATATACTATTTCCTGCTTATGGAAGGTGTAATGAAAAATGCTTGGATTTGTTGGGTTGATTGAATTCAATAGGCAAAGTAGAGTTATTTAACCTACAAAAAATCGAAATTTTTATGTGGCCAGCTACAAGTACAATCTAAGATCGTTTTATGAAATAATATGTCAGCAATTGAAATTACTAGAAATTAGAATAATAGACCGAAGTTACTGTTCGAGCTTTTAATCAAGGCGGCATCGTAACGATAAATTTCACGTTGATCGAAAAGAAATGTTCTTTTCGTTTTTATCCGAAACGAAAAGCTGTCTTAAAATAACTAATTATTTCAATAATAGGTATATGACAAAAATATTACAAATTTTGCATTCCTTAAAAATATTTAGTTATTATAATTACAAACCATTAACCGTTCGAAGGCGGCTTAGTATAAACCGTAGACCTACGATCCTTTTCTTGGAGAAACATTAAGACGCACGACAACAAATTCGAGGAGGAATCCCAAAAACGCTTCGATGATCAGATTTTAGAACGATTGACTGAAATGGAGACGAGAAAACATAAGATAGCTGAAGATAGGTCAGACGAAATTCCACCACCAACACCAACAGAAATTTGCGATGTAATTCTCTTCGAGTTTCGGCATGATTTACAGCCAATAAAAATGTGCGGTAAATTCCAAATAACATATGGAACAATTGCACGGTATTTAAGGACTATTTCTAAGTGATTTCGAAGATTCCGGACCGGACATTTTTCCGTAGGGGACAAGCCCCGAGAAGGCCGACCAAAATATTCCACTGATGACGTCGCTGTACCTCTGGTAAAATTCAAAATAGACAAAAACCCACGATTGACGCAAGAAATTATTGCTAATGAATTGGGCTTGAATACCATGGCTGTATCGCGAATATTAAGTAATAATCTGGGATACCCGAAGAAATCTGCTCGATGGCTAAAACGAATTCTAAATGAGGCCCAAAAAGAGGCTTGGGTATATTTTGCTCAATTTTTCCTAAACAAATTCGAAAATGGTCAGTCTAACAATTTCAGGAAGTTCGCTACCGGTGACGAATCTTGGTTCTATAAGTACGATCCAGAAAGCAGACAGCAGTCAATGGTATGGGCCCAAAAACAGCAGGCCCACCCGTAAAATCTAGGCGAAAAATCAGTAGCAAAAGTAATGATGTAAGTTTACTTCACCCGATCTAAAGTCGTGGCTCTTTTTCCACTGGAAAGGGGTCAGACGGTAACGGCAAAATGGTACACCGAAACACCTGTCGAATTGGCACCTGTAATTTCTGGTAATTTTTAAAAATTAAAAAAAAAGGTATTTAGTAGCAACGAGTAGATAATTACACCGTTTAATGCTGAACTTGATAAGCTTTAAAAGAAAGAATTTGAAGACTGTTTTCGGAAGTGGTTCTATAGGATTAGGAAATGCATTGAAATAAATGGTGATTATGTAGAGAAGATAAAAAAGACTACGAATAAAGGCAAAAGTATTTTTTTTTCTGGTCAACTTACCGAACTTTAGTTAATCCCCTCGTATATGCAAAAATATTTGGAAAAAAATATTTCAACATTGACTTGATTTGCTCTAGTTTGATAACAATAATAAATAAATCTAGATTTTACTCGGACTCAATGTAATGTTTACATAATACTATTAGGCGTAAAGCTTTCCTATAGATACCCGAACTTGAAGCTCTCCTTATAAGGTTAGAAGGCCTTCATCTGCGTTGGTAGATGGTATACAGCGTGGGTCTCTAAACGCAAGAAGTCAGAAAGGCAGGCTTCGTTTGAAAGTAGAAAGGGTGGCAGTAGACGAACCTATGGCTAACGTTTACAGCCATTGCAGGTCATAATGACAGATGAAGTATAGGCAATTACGAGAATAAATCACGAAAACCCTATGGAGCACTATGCAACCACCGATCAGCCCAATAATATGATTGTAATTCCAAGAATGCAAAAAAGGACCATACAAAATCTGATGCACTACTACATCATTTATTCGTGTTCGTAGCATTTTTCCACTCCATACATGACTTTGGAATCACATAGTAATCTCAACACTCTTCCCATACCTATCTGAGAGCAGTCCACCAACGTACAAGGCCAGGTGTGACTATTTATCTCTAAAGAGGGTTCGTTTTTGGCATTTTCTTATTTTTTTACAACAAATCTCTTCCTGGTTGCATAACATGTTTGCCAAACATTCTTATATAACATTACGGTGTGTGCAGTTGAAAAGTGGTTTGACGGGTTCCTTAACATGGACTTAAACACTTCCTACTTCTTTTGCGAAGCTACTGAAGCTGATGTCTTTGCCTTTCGTTTGGTGTTGTGGGCAAAAATATGTAAACGTTGATCTTTGTTATTGCTATTCCTGTTTTCTATGTGCTGGGATTTCTGTGATTGTTTGTGTGGATCTTCTACTTTTCTTGCTAATTAATATTTTACTTGTTGAGGTATCTCTTAATATTACAGTTAGAGACAAAAGCGTATTTGTTATATGGTATGTACTCAACTTTCTAAATTTATTCATATTTACTAAGGACTACAGGTGTATTTTTGAATACATAAAAAATTAGTGTTTTTTCAAATCGGAATGAGGCATTAATCAATTAAAAAATTTATGCGTCAATCACACATGAAATCAGTTTAATCGACTAATCACAATTTAGCCAAGTTTTCATCAAGATGTTTCAAGTTTACAATTGAAATTAAATAAAAATTATTTGAATTTAATTAATACCAACTTTTAAACATTTTTATTTCTAAGCATTTATTAATATAAATTAATTCCTCTTTGGGAGAGACCTCCTACGAATTTCATGCTTCATAGAAGTAAGTGCATTTAAAAAATATTAAGGACCCTTACTTTATACGCTTCTTAAAATTGGCCCATACGTTTCGGAGCTTGAACTTTGTTATTCTACGAAGATTGCTGATCTACGCTGCGTAAGAGCGTCACATACGAACCTGCAGTGCGCCAAACCTAAAATAAAATTTCAATGAAAAAATGTCTTGTACATAAAAATACAATTTTAATTAATTAATTTTTTTTTTTTAATTATAGCATTTGGCTTGGATATAAAGCTACAAATTCGGACTGGGAAAAATTCAGCCAGTAAAAGTCGGTCAGCAAAAAAATCATATGATTTGTTACGCAAATAAAAATAAATATTACTAAAAGCTGTATATGAGGGATTTAAAAGAGGTAATTACATGCTATTTTATTACTTTCAAATGATTAATTTCAAAAAAGTAATTAACAAAAATACTGCTGACAAGGCAGTGTAGTCATGGCTTTTAGTATTCGCAGCGATAAGCGTCACACTATGGGGAAAAAGCGCTCGGAACACGCGCTTTAGAGCAAATATAAAAAGTAGCAAGCATTCTTTGTTAAATTTTTTTATTGAATATTGAATATTTGTGTTTTGAAAATTGCATAATTGATGCCACATGAATATTAATTTATTTTCAAACCTTTTTTTTAGTTTAAACGTTCAAACTTCTTATAATTAAATTAAGTTTTATGTGAAATCAACAGTTTTCTTTGGTTCATAACATTTTTTACTCACAACGAACGAAGTATAATATTTCAGATCCAAAAGGTATGAGCTTTGATAAAGCAAACGATGTCAAACTTATCTACAGAGCTCTGAGTTCTGCATTATAAGGAATTACAATATTTCATTTTCAAATCTCTCTCCCCACCAAAATTTGTTAAACTGAATCTTATTTTTATGAAATTTATTGGGTAATATTCTAAATTTTTATAGAAATCCTTGAACATATCGCAATTAAATGTGTTCTGCGATGAAGCGATTTTCGACCACTTCCAATGTGTGGCTTGTTGATGGTTTCCAAACCAATGGAGGAACCAGTCCCTCAGAATTTCAACAACTGATAGATTTTTAGGAGCCTTTGTTTTATATCACAAACACCCTCGGAGAGATTGACATTCGCAGCCGAGGCGATTGTCTGAATGTTGGTTAAGCCAGGGCTCGAGCCTTGGTCACCCGAATGGCAGTATACAATGCTAACCACTCGGCCATTGCAGCCGCCAATGTAATTACGATTTTTGCTTGATAGACCTTGATTGGATCGTCAGATGTCGACAAGCCAAAATGTGTGTATGGTTTTTTGACGATTTTAACATAAAATTTCATATTCCAAAAATTTGTTTTGAGAAGAATAAATAATATAGTCTTCCGATTCCTATGATTTTCACTGTAAATACTATAGCAATATAAAGGGTGATTTTTTTAGCTATTATCTTTCTGGCACCACTGGCTTAAACAGCTGACGCAAGTTTCTTGTTTTGTATCACTATTCAGTTTGTGTGCTCTGTTAAGAAAATTCATCGCGAGCTTCTTCCGCGCGCTTCGAAGCTCATTTTTGGCATAATGGGTGCGTAAATAAGCAGAGTTGTCGGTTTTGGAATGAAGATCAACCAGAAGCATCGCAAGAGTTACCAATTCATCCAGAAAAAGTCACTGGTTGGTGCAGTTTTTAGACTGGTGGCATCATTGGACCGTATTTATTCAAGCATGATGCGAATCGTAACGTAACTCAATATGGTGAGCACTACCGTGATAGGATATCAAACTTTTTTTTGCCCAAAATGCAAGAGCTGGACTTGCATGACATGTGGTTTAAAAAGACGGTGCCACGTGCCAAGCAGCACGCCTAACAGTGAACTTATTGAGAGGCGAGCTCGGTGAACATTTTATTTCACGTTCGGGACCGGTCGATCGGCCGCCTAGATCGTGCGTTTTAACGCCTTTATCCTACTTTTTGTAGGGCCATGTTAAATCTATTGTCTATACAGTTAAAGGAATTGACGGATTGGAGGACAATATTGAAGCAATTATTCGTGCGATACCGGCCGAAATGTTGGAAAGAGTATGCCAAGATTGCATGAAATAATCTTCAAACATTAAATTATTTGGACCGTACTATCGATTCAAACAAAGATTTAATGCATTTTTCTGAATATAATTTTTTTTTTTGACTTTCCTATAGCTCTTAAAAAATCACCCTTTATAAAGACAGTCTTCCGATTCTGACGATTTTTAGGGTAAATACTATATCTGTATAGAATTTCAAATTTCGCGCTGTCGCCGGTTATATGGTATATATTTTATTGTAGCTGCTTACCAAACCAAACTTGTTTAAAATATCTCTAAAACTAACGGACTAGTTTTCATCCAAATAGACGAAAAGACAGACCAACGAACAGCCGGTATAAATATTGCTGGGCTTTTTCCTTATCTTCCTTATTGAAATATATGGAATACATTAAGGAAGTTAATCGGTAAGCTTTACTAGAAAATGAAAGGAAGTCCGCATTCTTTATTGAAGAATTCGGCAAAGTTTAAGTTGCCATAGAAAGTTTTAACAAAGACCATGAAATGAGAAAAGTAAATATACAAATTTGTAGCATTTGATTCCATGGAAAAATTTAAATCAAATATCAAATTTGAAGAAAGTATCATGAATAATATATGGGTTTAAAGCATTAAGTGTATAATACAAGTTGATTTGGAACTTTACTTTATTCGACGGTGTCGACTAAGACCCATTGACTCTTTTGCTAGCTAATTCTCACTGGCTTTTCCAAACGAATACAATTATTTATAGTCCAGGAAGTAAAAGGAATGTTAAACAATTTTCTCTTACCCATAAAAATAGGCGCAAGTCTACATCGAAAAATATTCCAGTCAATTTACAAGGTCGTTGAGCGCGCGCCATTGAGAATAACAGTACTTTGCGCAAGTCAATTGGCCAAATTGTTGAATTGATTGTTTGAGAAATAAACTTTGCAACGTTTTCACTCTAATTTTTGGAAAATAATAAAACACAAAGTATTTATTGTAATTTTATGCACAAACTCTCACCTCATTCTGCAAATACTGTCCACCATAACAATAGATCATCAATTGGATGCCAACCGACGTCATGAATAGGAACAAAAATGGTAAATCGACCACTGCCACATCGCCGCTACCAATTTGATAAGCCAGAAAACATATTTGTAAAGCATTTAATGAAAATTGCACCAAAACTATTGGTTGATAAATAATATTCAGCTGTTCGGACATGGTTATGAGACGCTGATGATAGCCGAGGCAATAGTAAATCGAGGCACGTCGTTCACTCACTTCTGCAATTAGCTCAGCTGTGACAAACTTCGTCTGCAGTATTTTAAAATTGCCCACCAAATTATGTATATACCAGGAGTAGAGACTATCTACAGAGACCGAACCATAAATAACGCCATAAATCGCTATAGCAGACCAAAGCCAGATGAGGACGTAATTTAGCGGGCGCGCTAATTCTATAGGATAACTGAGAGAATAGAAGAGAGTAGTGTTAAATAATACCACAGCTGTACAAATTTAAGAAGCATAATCTTACGTCGCTTTCAGCACCACAATATAGCTAAATTCACCGAGACGCAGGTATTGTATGAAGCTAACCAACACCGGTGCTATGAGCGCCAACACGCCAGTGTTGAACACCGAATAATAATAAAAGGTATTCATAATACGCTCACGATTATTCTCTCGTCTTAGATGAGTCAACTCCTGCTTTGTAGCTTCCAAAAAAAAAAATCAGAGATAGTTTGAAAAAAATTTCATAAAAAACATAGAAAAACTCAAAATAATTTATTAAGAAAAAAATTCAGAAAAGATTTGAAAAAACTCATCAGAAAAGGAAAATTGGAAACAATAAGCAAAAATTTAAAATTGAATTATATAGCAACCAAGGTTTATTTAATAAGAGGTTACGACAAGAGCGAAAGCATATGTTCAAGGACGAAGGTTTTTCAAATTTCGGGTTGCCGAAGATATTAAAATAAATTTCCCTAATTTTATCTATAAAACAGCTTAACATTTTGATTATAAAATTCGAAAGACCGGCATAGTAATTTCTTTAAATTAATAACAATTACACTTAAAATATTTTGAATAGATTTTTTCGACATAAATCTATTCTGATTTAAAAAAAATTTTAACTTATGAAAAATAATAGTATTTTTTAGCAAAAATTTCTATAGCTAGCAACTCTAACTTTTGGTGTCATGTAATACGAATGGCGTGTTATAATATTGACAAAAAGGTTAAAAAATTATTGAAATTCCAAGCGAATACGTATTATTATAAAAAATTTAATATCAAAACCTAATTTCGCACACTTTCTTTATCTGCTGAAAAGCTTTTGGGGAATGAGTAATGCCTATCTTGTGAAGAAATCGTGTTTCAAAATTCGAAGCGGTGAAAAAGTGAGCAGTGGGTTATTATTTACAAAAACTTAAAAAAAAAAAACGCTTCTGAAAATTCATAAGATATTTAAATATAAATGTGACATATGCATATGTAAGAAGAAAATATAGTTATTTAAGCCACCGCTTAGTGTAAGATTCTTATTTACACTTGGTGGTTTTTGGTCACTTGGATCGTGGTTTAATCAAAATAGGTTATGTCTTGCACGTTGAACATTGTAAAAAATTTCCAAATCTGTGACTGGGTGGCGTTACCAAAAAAAAAATGTTTGTATAATTTGTCTTTTCTTCTGTATAAGTTTTTACCATATTTATTTTATTAGAATCACATATGTACCTATATTTTAAAGGAAAAATTTACTCTTTTTTATAATATATATATCAAGTTTCGCCCACTGTATATACTATAACGAAGTTGGTACGGTGACGTCAACGGTAGTCGTAACCTTGTATTCTATAAATTTTGAATAGCAACCAGTATAAAAAATTATCAAAAATTTTTGACAATGACTCCATAAAAGAATTTTTAAAATTTCTGAAAAATATTAAATAAACTTTACAAGTAAGTTAAAAAAATACTACAAATACTGAATTGAAAAACAAACCGGTAAATATAAATTAAAACAGAAAAGGTAATTAATTTTTAAATTAAAAGAAATCAGTAATAAGAGGTTTGATATTCAAAGAAACTTTTCTCTTCAAAGATCGTAGTTTCGTAGGTTGGCACTTAGCACTTTTTTCGTTGTCCAGAACAATATCTTCCAATTACGGTAATAAACAATCATTAATCATCTCTCGATAGTGCAATTCATTAATTTTCCAATGACTACACCTGACCATACACCTCGCCAAACAGTTACACGTTGTACACGTTGCGGATGGAGAGGGCTTTCAACACATTTGCTTATCGACGTAGCCATCGTTGTGGAAATGGGTTTCATCAGTCAACATGATTTTCAATGAATTTTCTTAAGTGAATTTTTTGAATTAATGCTTTACTTGTAAAATGTCAAAGAATTACAGCTTCAAAAATGAGATTCATAATAACACATCTCACTGCGAAACCCTTTAAATCAAAATTATTGACAAAAACTCCTTAAAAGCAGTTCCGAAAATTCTGAAAAATGTTAAATTAACTTTTCAAGTAATTTAAAAAAAAATTTACCATAGCTGGGACATTTTAAAACAAACCAAAACAATAAATTAAAATAAGAAAAGCAAGAAAATTACTTTTAAAACTAAAAGAAATTAATAATACTAACAAAAAAAATAATAAAAAAATCCACACTAACCTTTTGTAGACACCGAGTAAATATCTTCCACTAACTCCGCCATCATCTTACGCCGGTAAATAACACGCCAGATCTTCCAAAGCGTTATAGTCGCTTGCATAAAGGGCGCCATTGCATTGGTCACTTCGGCAATCTCTTGCAAATGTTGACAACTATAAATGACCATTGGCATAGTGATAGTGACCAAAGCAACAATTTGTAGTGCTAAAAAATATATATGCGTTATGGATGCATTTCTCGTCGTCATATCTATTCCGAGTCGTTGAAAAGTGTGTTTTTGTAATTGAAAATATCCATTAATAACTAAGTCCGAGTGGAACATCTTTTGGCTGCCTGTTGACCTTCTGACACAAAGACTACAAATGGAATGGCTTTTATAATGAGAATGTACCAGCATTTATGTTGCTGAGTAATATCGGTTAGCGGTTAATTGCTTACTGAAAATGAATTGGCTATGCTACATGATACGCTGAAGTCTACGCGCAACATCACAAAAGTTGGTCGGATATGAATTATATATACAATTAGCGCTTTGTAACCGCTGAAGCGATTTTTCCGCCGAGCTACTCCTCCGATTTGTGGTTTTGCGTCTTGATGTTTTTCCAACAAATGGAGAGATCTACTGTTTACACTAAGCCGCCTCCGAACGTCTGATGGTTTTTTATGAGGAGCCTTTATTTCAAGTCCAAAATAGATTCCCAGCCGAGAGACGACCGCAATTAGAAAACTTAGCTTGATTTTTTATTTAAATTGATTTTCTATAATTTTTGGATGTTGGTCGCACGGGGATTTGAACCCGAGCCTTCCTAATGGCAGTACGCAATGCTAACCACTCTGTATATGAATTATTAAACATAAATAAAAACTGAATTTTGAAAACAATTTTATTTTGCGCTGCTGGTATAGATTTTGGGAATTCGGTTATAAAACCATAAAAAATATTTCACATTCGCATGGGACAAAAATGAACATTTTTCTCCCATAGCTTGTCAAAGAAATTAAGTAAGTACAGTTTATTAGTATATAGATCTACCCACAAATATAATTGGCGCTTATAATCAGGTCTTGCACCCACAACTCTCTCCACCATGTACAATTATATATAAAATAATTCGTGTCGTACAAGAAAAAGTAACAAATTTCTATTGTATGTAACTGTAGCGCTCAATATGGTCCAAATAGTCGGACTTTAACACCACTAACACTCCTACGCTTTGCAATAATTTCTCACAACTGTTTATATTTTCCGACATTTATCTAAATTTCACTTCTTCAGAAACTTTACCGTTTAAATCTAATTTTCTTTGTTTTGATTGTCTCACTGCGTTTGAGGCGTTGTCAACAATTTAAAAGTTGATAGTTTCTTTGGTAGAATTAAAGGATATTAAATGACATAATTATTACATCATTACCATGCCATAGCCATAATTTAACAAGTATTTCATTCCTAAGGAAATAGACGGTTGAAACGCCTAAATATATGTTTTCGTGTATGCAGCAAAGTGTCACAAATTGTGTGAAAATTTTCCAACTGGCACCAAATGTTTTTGCGTCCTTATGTGTTTGTGGCAGCTGAATGGGTAGCGGTAGCGCCTGGGCTGGGAATGTCAATACCGTAAATCTGATATGAAATAAAAGTTTCTCCTGTAAATACGTTGCAGGTGAACTTCCACAGTAAATCTTTTAGGTGTGTCAATAATAATAATAAAAATGAATAGATGTTTATACCCTACTATATTTCGTATAGAGGATGTTTAAAGTTTGTTTGATTAACGGCTGAGAGTAACGATATGAAATAAACGAGCTTAATATGCAACTTCATTATTTTATCTGTGGTGCATAAACTGGCTTAAGCAAAACTGGTTTAAGACTCTTCTTGTCTACTTGATTAGTAAATTGCATCTTCGGTGCAACATATACGCGTTCTATATCCGGTGTAACAAACATTTTTCAAACTAATGTATTTGCAAATCAAGCCTGAATGACTAACGAAGCAGCTCACAACCTAAACCATTGATCGATAAGTAGAGCTTTCTTCTGTGAGCGCGGTTATTATTTTTATTGTTTTTCTTTAGATATGTGTATTAATTTTTAAGGGTGGAAATAAAATTTAGTTATTTAGTAAAAAGTACTAATCAGCTGTAATAGGCTGAGTCTCAAGAATTTAAAAAAATTAAATAAATACGAAATAAGTGGTTTAGTTCCTATAAAAAATTTGCTATTTTATAAATATTTTGTGGACGGGCCTTGGACTTTGACCTTTAAATTATCACCAGAAGACAGCTTCAGTTAGCACCTAAGAAGCATAGGCGATCCACATGATAGTGAGCAGAGCTACATTCAGCAGACCACATAGGTCACGATACAAGAGATCACGGTCAGCTTAAATAATATTCTCATATATATATTAATAAAATTGCTTTGAAGAAAATAATTACCTAAGGCAGAAGAAAATATATGATATGGAAAAAATGAGATTGAAAATAAATTAATTTTCCTAAATTATTATACTCAGTTCTAAATTTAAGATAACTAACCGTTTCTAACGTATCTCGGCTTATAAAAAGAGAAAAGATAAAAAATTTTAATGTAATATATTTTTAACACAAACTTAACTACTTTTCACTCCGTCACTAGTGCGTAAATTCCAAACGGAATCTCTCGTAAAACCTTAAACTTGAACTTTTATTTAGTTAATTTTGAGAATATGCAAATATGCATACATAAATAATTAATAAACAAATTACCAGGCGCCTGATGATCCAGCTCGGAGTACATACATTTAGTTTGTAAGGATAAAACAAAGAAAAAAATGATTTTTTTTTTTAGTTTTCAATGGGAAAGTGAATTAAACATTAAATAAGATAACCAAATAAAATCTATATATTTTTTCTTGAGTTGTATAAACGCATGCATGTAGAGAAGTAATAAGTTAGCTAATAATAAATGAATTGTTAAATATTCTGGAATGGAACTCTAAACTTTTAATTTTGTTATTGAGAGATGATAGCGTCCTAAGTCTGAGAATTATTGGTTGGGATTGGTGATACCCAAAAGTATCTCTCTATGATTGGGTAGAGGAGAGTAGAGAAACGGATGACATTCCTTCTCAGGTTTGATTATAAGGTTTCATTCAATTTAACCGTCTGTCCGTATACTTTATACTTTATAGTGGGTAATTAGTCCGTGCTATAAGTAATTTATGGACATGAATATTCTTTCTTTTATCGTAACGGTTGGATGGCTGCAATGACTAGGGGAAAAAACCCACCCCAATCCGATGAGCTTAGAACCTGGAGAAGAAGCATGCACAGCCCATCTACAAGCAGGTCTCATCCAAAACTTGCTACTGTTAACCGCTATTTATCATAAAATTTGGTACAGAGGTAGCTTCCGGCCTAAAACATCACAGGGAATACATTTTCTCCAAAAAAGTAATCTTGAAATTAATCTAATAAAAAAAAATTAAATTTCTTTTTGCCCAAATCACTATTGGGAACCCATTTTTTCTGGAAGTGAGACCAAAGTATTTGTTTGGAATTTGCATGTTTGAAATATTCAATTAAATTAAAACCCTTTAACAACTTTCGTTTAACTACAAAAATGCGAGAGCAATTGTATAATACAATCAATCAACTTCCATATATAAGAAATTATACCCAAACAGGAGATTTCGAAGCATTAAATAGATCAGTACAAGATATTAGGAATAAAAATTGTCAAATGGGACGGAGGAGCTACTGTTACTATTAGTCGGCGATTTCCGACAGACTTTACCAGTATGACCCAGAAAAACGCGAGCGGAGGAAGTTAAGAAGGCTTGCAGCAATCTCATTTATCATCTTCAGGAAGAAAACTCAGCTTCACCAAAAATATAAGAGTCCATTTGAGAGGATATGTTACTGTCGAACATTTCTCAGAACTGTTGCTTTATTTAGGAAATGCTGACATCTAAGCTGAATAAATATATTATAAATAGTATATGTATGTTCCTACAGCATTTAAGACAGCAAGAGTAAACTTGAGAAAAATCTGCTTCTTCCTTGGTTGTATGGGGCATGCTCCAAATCAATTAGTATTAGTTAGTAGTATATTTCTATTTAACCGTTTCATTGAACATATATTGAAAAATTTAAAAATATTCTTTAATTATTATTTTGTTACAAAATAGCGGAGATAAAGTCTATTATTTAATCTATGTTCTTTTGAAAGGCGTCAACGGGTGGACCGATTTCTCTTAAAGGCTGAGACTCAGAATAGAAAAGCAAAAAGCTTTATGATCTACAAACTATGGTCTATGGAAGTATGTACGGATTTATTTTCTGACTATTTTTTGTGAAATTTACAAATTTTTTAAAAAGATTGATTTTTGACAAAAAAAATACGTACTAAATTACTAAAAAAAAAGTTAAGACTTAATGGAAAAATTTTCTTGCAGAGCACATCGCTATGAAATTTGCTGCTCGTATGACATAGGGCTTAATGCCACTGAGCATATATCAGCAAGATTCATTAGCACAAGAAAAAAATCCCTATATACAATAGTATACACTGCAAACTGGTGGCTTGAAGAAACTTTGAAAACGGACCCATATTTTATTTAAATCACTAAATATTGTTGTATTTAACTCATAAGAAACGAAAATTGACCTTTCTTCAATTTATACTCGACCTTGGGAAGCGGACTGCCCTGGTGCTTTGTAAGCGCTGAAGCGAGCTCCTCCCCCAATTTGTGGTGTGCGTGTCGATATTTTTCCAACAAATGAAGGGACTTACGGTTTACAATAAGCCGCCTCTGGATTTTTATGACGAACTTTTATTTCAAGTCAGAAATACATTCGAACGAGAATAGAAAATTCATTTTTTTTTTAATAACTAATGAGTCAACCCATAGACTTGAACTTGTAAGATGTCTTCCGCATATGACGTATTTTCTCGAAAGAAGAAAACATTTTGTGGAAGGTGGATTTGGAAAAATCGAAGAAACAATATAAAAGCCTAATAAAAATCTTATAACAACCATCTTTTATTTTATCCGCACGAAGTCGCGTACAATTTATGTATGTATGTTTGTACAATATTTCGGTTGACTAAAAACATTTGAAATGCAGATTTATGGTGGAAATGAATATCAGACGAGTATATGTATGAAATCAGGTGGTCAGAAATAAAAATACTTCTTTTATGCGTTGATGTCAATTCACAAAATCAGATGACTGAATAATTTGTTGTATTTATAAGAGCCACAGTCGGCCGTTCTGATTGTTCCAAGCCAGATTCCTGCTTCCATCCGTATAGCATGGCCTAGCCTGTTGTTCAGTACGGCTTAATTCGTTAGACTGAGACTGTTTCAATGAATTCATCATCGATGTTCCGTATACTTCTCTCTCAAAACCAACCATGTATACTCACGGTCCTGTATAAAATGGCAAAGTCATATGTCGAGAGAGAAGTTTACTTTCGAATTGTTCTCGTATACTCGCAAACGCATTGCGTACTTGTTCCGCCTTGAGAAAATAGGACTAACGGGGGGTGTGCTGAATCCAATGACTGATCAACCAACAGCCGAACAAGTCCAACTAAAGAACGATTGTAATTTTTCCTACTTTTACGATTTCTAATTGCTAAATAATTCTTCCATTCTTTGAAACCATGGAATGTATGGAATACTCTATTACTGGTAATTTGTCAATAGACAGATGTATTTCTGATTTCTGAATGGGAAAAATTAAAGAGTTAAACGAGAGTTTAACACGAGCATAATGTTCGTAAATGGTGACAGGTGATAGGTGTCAAGTGACCTTGAGCAATATATAAATAAAAATTTTACACTCAACCCAGTTCAATGACCACCAAAATCCTTCACTAATTAAGTGTTTAATAAACTTTTCTAATTACACATTACAAACTTATTAAAAAGATTGATTAATGTGTTTTATTAAAACTTTACTTACTTTATACTCACTTTAAATAGAGGAGGTCATCAATTTGATTTTCGATCTGAGGTTTAACCAGGCTTGCATGGAGTCAGTAGGTCTGAAAAGAAAATTATATCAAAATGTTAAGTTCTCATAAGGTGCGATACATTAGTGCTTCTAATAAAATTTAAAAATTGGATTCTTTATTATGCGTATACATAAAATTTAGTACTGTAATTTAACTCGGTTCCAGTATTTCGATAAAAAGGGCTCTAAGCTTTTTCAAACACCAAATTTTTAATTGCACTTTTAAACAAAAATTAACACATTTTCACGGATTATAATTAAATAGTTGAACTGACAATGACTAAGAAGAATTTACTTGTGGCATTTGTGGTATATAAAGTCATTGTTCTTGGGCAAACTTGGCAAAAATACCTCAACTCTAAATACAATGAGAATAATTGTTTTAAAGGATATAACACCAGTTGTTGATGGTGAATCAATATAAAGTATTATTTTTAAAAAAATATCCGCTAAATTCTTTTTATCTTCATTTATTTCAGCCTTTGCATGCATAGGCTTTAATATTGATCTCAATAAAGCCAAAGGGAGCTTCAGCCAACCGGTGCGCTATTTCGTACTTTTAATTGGCGTTATTGCTTGGACCGCAGCTTTGGCTGCTTATACTATGCAATATTTGACGGATGTCGACAAAATGGTCGCGGCGATGACAATAAATGTGCAACTTTTCCTTACGACATCAAAGAATTTAATTTTTCTAGCGCGACGTAAGCGCTTTTTACACCTAAATGAGGCTTTGGAACGGCTGGCTTTGAATGGTGATTGAGTGTAGATGTTCGAAGTAAGAGTATTAAATTCAGTGTTATCATTTAGGTAACGAGTCTGAGCGTATTTTATGGAATACCACAAATCGTTTCGTTCTGCCCATCACTAGAGCTTACAGGATCTCGAGTGAGCTTACCGTCAGCTTTTGCGTACTATTGCCAATACTAAAGTTACTCTACTACTATATTTTTCATTCCGAAGTGGTCCTAACGCTGCCATTGCCGGGCATGTTAGTATTATTTATAACAATTTTAAATTAGTTTAAAAATATTTCTGCTAATCAATGTTTTCTCTTTACCCTAGTTTCCCCTACAACTACACTCTACCCTTTTACTTCATCTTAACCACTATACTCACCATTTTGCTTGTTTACTTGTGCGCTTATACCATCGTTGCTATCGATGGTCTCTTCGGTTGGTTCATCTATAATATTTCGGCACATCTTCAGATTATGAGTCTGCGTTTGGAGCAAATTCTGCAACTACCAATCGAAGATCCACGCTTTCACCGACATTTTGTCGACTTGGTGAATTATCATAAAGAAATAATTAGGTTGTCTTTGGAACTTGATGCAGTTTATGCGCCAATCATATTCTTAGAGGTCACTTCATCTTCTTTGCCGATTTGCTTTCTCGCTTATCAGTTATCTTACTTATCGGATCCAGCAAATGTGCCCTTCATGTGTTTGTTGATGTCTTCTATTGTTATACAATTAATGATTTACTGTTTTGGCGGCGAGAAGGTGCAGAGCGAGGCAAGTGTGAAATGTGTCAAATTTATATATGTATAATTTGTCTATTTATCATATCATCAATATCTTGATCGATAAATCCCTTTTTCAGTGCGATCAACTTTGTGAAAATATTTATTTGCTCATACCCTGGCAAAATCTACCGCAGAAGCACTGTCGTTTGCTTCTAAATCCGTTGATTCGTTCGCAACGAGTTTTAGTCTTAACCGGCTATTTTTTCACGGCCAATCGCAGTCTACTTGTATGGGTAATATTATATATATACATATGTACAGAACTATTTGGAATTTTTTCCTATACATTTGCTAAATTTTTACTCGCTTTAGATCTTCAGAACAGCTGGATCATTTACGGCCATGTTATTTGCTTTGAAAGAAAAGGACGTATAAATTACTGCTAAACCTTTAAACTTATCTCTTACTATGAATTCAAAAGAATTACTTACATTTGTGCGAAAAATATACTAATCATTATTCTTCTTATTATAAATAACTATAAAAAAGCAAAACAACTTTTATACCGCGTTTTTAAATATGCTGACTAGAACTTATTCACATTGGTAGGAAAACCAAATAATATCAATCCTGGGTCGATACGAGTTACTGTGTGCAATCAAAGTTGCTTTGGGTGAAAAAGTTGTAGAATTCTTAAATATTCAATAGTCTTAAAAAGGGGCGATGAAAATGTGAAAAACGCTATAGGAAAGTTTTTAAAAAAAAAATCATATAAATTCAAAAAATGATTGAAATCTTAATTTATTGTTTGGAGATTATTTCATGCAAATATTAACCGTGACAGCGCCTCAAACGGTCCGTCCGCTTAGTTCAATTTTGGCATACTTTTTCCAACATTTCGGCGGGTATCACACGAATAAATACTTCAATGTTGTCCTCCAATCCGTCAATTGAAACGGGCTTGTCTGCATAGACACTAGATTTAATGTGGCCCTTCAAAAAGTAGCCTGAGGTCGTTAAATCGCAAGATCTAGGCGCCCAATTGACCGGTCCCGAACGTGAAATAAAATGTTCACCGAACTCGCCTTTCAATAAGTCCGTTGTTACGCGTTTTGTTGGTGGCATGCGGCACCGTCTTGTTGAAACCATATGTCATGCAAGTCAAGCTCTGGTATTTTGAGCAAAAAAAAGTTTGTTATCGTCTCACGGTAGCGCTCACCATTCGGTGCGTTCAGCGAACTGAGCGCTCAGTAAACATCTTTAGTGAGCGGGCGGACCCTGAACGCAATCATTAGTTACAAAGAAAGAAATATAAAAGAAAGGACCAAACATTTGTACCTCTGTGCCATGGTATGCGGAACATTTTACGATGAACAGAACAACATTTCAAATAAGTCGTAATTGAGCAAACGTCAACATGCATAAAATAAATTTACTTATGCTTGCGCTTTATCGATGTGCCTTTCGAGAAAAAGATGTTATTTTCGATGTAGTTAATAGGAAAGCAATCATCTTTTTTGGCGGTTGGATATCGCTTTAATATTCCCAAAAAGCAGCGGCCATAATATATTTAAAAGTGTGATTCTCTAAATATAGAAATTGGCTTCAACATATATAATATGGCCCCATGCAACTAAATCAGCAAATACATCGGCAACTTTTCAAAATCATTCTGGTTTAAGTGGCGTAATTGGTGCTATAGATGAATGCCACATCCCTATCAAGCAAAAAACTAGAAATGCTCAAGACTACTATAATAGAAAACAATTTCATTCCATTATACTACAACGAGTTTGTTATGCTTCTGGGCAGTGCACTGATGTCTTCATCAGAATGCCTGGTTGGATGCACGCACGAGTTTTCAAAAATAGTAATTTATATAAAAGATTATCGTGCGCAACTAACTCATTTTTAACCCGAGAACACCATCTTCTCGGGGACTCCGCTTATCCACTTATGATGAATTTAATTACCCCTTTTCGTGACAATGGTCATTTACAAACAACCCGAATACTTTATAATGCGATATTATGTAAGAATAGGTCCAAAATTTAACGTGCTTTTCGCCGACTCAAAGGAAAATTTCGCCGTTTGAAATTTTTAGATGTTGGGGAAAGAGATTCCAAAGAAACGAGCGCAACAAAAACGAATTAATATTATGAACAGCATATACACATGAATACAAAAAATGAAAGCCAATTCATACAAGAAAAGAAAATTGAATTTATACAAGATATTAAAAATAAATTAACAACTTAACATACAGAAAGCTTTACAACTTTTCCAATATTTTTTTTAGTATCCTGTTCCTTTCGTGTTGCACTTGAATTGCCATCTGTGCTCTTTACGTTGACGGTATATACTTTTATTGTACTATCGTTTTGTTAAATGGATGGATTGGGAATTGGTGGTGATGGTAACTCTGGTATTAGAGCCGGTGAAATTGGTGAGAAAACAGATGCTAATAGTGATTCCGATGTTGGTGCTAATGTAACATCCTCGACAATGGACAATGCATTGATGCAGAAGCCGGTATTAATCGTACGATCGTCGGAAAAAATTTCTTCAAACGTGCTGGAAAAAAGCCCGTGTTGTTGTTACACTTGATTGGGCAAATTGTTCATTGTACGATCTAGGACATCTTCTGAGCAATCGTGGAACCCTTTTTTTTTGCTGATTTTACAAATTCTTTTTAATTTTTGGGTCGCAAAATTTACTGCGGTTCTCTACGTATAAATCCAACAGTAGCTTAGTTTTTTTACTGCTCCAAGTGCTTCGGTCACTTCGGTCAAAAAATGTCTGTAAATATATATAATTTTTAAGATAGTTACTTTAAAATGATAGTGCATACCAATATATTCCATGGCCCTCAGCTTTCTTAATGCACCCATCCACAGTTACATTAAGATTCGCATCACCTTTGATGCGACAGCCCATAAACCGCACCAAACTGTGACTTTTCTAGAGGCATTGGTAGCTCTTGCAATGCTTCTGTCTGATATTCACGCCAAAATCGACAATTCTGTTTATTTACGCACCCATTAAACCAAAAATGAGCTTCAAAGGGCGCGCGGAAGAACTTTCTTAACAGAGCACGCTTTTTGATAATAAAATTCAATAATTTGCATGCGTTGTTCGTTTGTAAAATGATTCATGGTTAAATTATAGACCAAACTGAAAATGTTTGACAGTGATACAAAACACGAAACGTGCGCCAGCTATTTAAGTCAGTGTTGCCAAAAAGATAATGGCTAAAAAATCACTCTTTATAATAATATAATGCCATTGAAGAACCCAAACAAATTGCGCCTCTTTCTTCCGACATAAATTAAGTGATTAATTTATAGCTTGCCTATCCCAATCCTCGTATATGCCTTGATCACTACAGAGAACTTGTAAATATCTGCGTCAGCCAAGATGTGTTCTGGCTAAGGTAATTCCTGTTCCTCTCAGGATAGTGCTATGGATTGCTAAGTGGTCAACAGTCTGGATTTAGGTCAACTCTAGGCTCTAGGACTGCACTTTATTGTTCAGGTTTTATTTAAGTGACAGAGCCCAAGCCGTAAGTGTTGGAGGTATAAAGTACGGTCTCTTGTTTGGAGTTAAAGGAGTGTCTTAAAGCTGGATTTCTAAAGGTTTGCCTAATGTATTGAAATACATTATATATGTAGACCTATTATTTTCGAACTAGTAATTGTTTTAGTGATGTCTCAGGTAGTTAAGTCTCCTTTAAATGGACTTTTACTCTGAAAAAACTGAGTGCATCATAATTTGTAGAAAAGTTGTTAATTAAGTAGTTAGAATGTAAATGATTTGGATCAATGATGGAAGAAATTACAATGCAATATGTAAAAGATTACGTTTAGTATGCTTGCTACCTTCGGTACAGGATGAATGTGAATTGTTCTCATTGTGACTCTTAATACAAGAAACATTTTTTCGCAACAGCATTGGAATTCACGGGCTGAAATGAAATGGGCATGTATCAGCATTTTCTGAAAGTATTGAATTTTTTATAATTCGATAACCTACGCATATTAAAAGAGCTAAGGGAATCAATATCTTTGTGACTGATTTCATTTCCTACATTTTCTGAAGTTTTTACTTCTATTTCACAATAAGTACCGGCAGGAATCTTGTCGATAAGCATTACACTTAGGCTGCCTGAGCTTAGAAAACAAAAAGGAATTGAGGAGGCAATTTAACGTAGCAAAATTATCACAAGCAGAGGAGGATTGTGATTTATTCAATTTGATGATGGAGAAAATAATAAGAGAGAAAATGGCAGAGCTGAATAGAGCCGATGATATTGATATCATAGACCTTGACAACTGTGCCGTCAACTCCACTTTACAGACTGGATAAAAAGCGAATTAAGTCTTCAAACACTTGGCTCTCATGTCACTGTTGGCAGTCATAACATCGAGGGCGTAGATAATTTCTTATATCTAGGAATCAGCGTCAACACCAATAATAACGTCAGCCTTGAAACTCGGAGCCGACAACAGGTGCTACTTTGGACTGAATATTCAATTGAAAAGTAAAATCCTCTCTCCGCGAGCGAAAACCAAGCTCTACAAGTCGCTCATTATACCCGTCCTACTATATGGCGTAGATGCGAGGATGATATCGAGGGAAAAGTTTTTGGAAGGATTTATGGTCCTATGCGCAATGGCAACGGCGAATACCGCAGATGATGGAACGATGAGCTGCGAATCAAGAAGCAGCGGCTAGGTCATGTCGTCCGAATGGATGAAAGCACTTCAGCTTTGAAAGAAGAAGAAGTTGGAAGGAACAGATGGATATCTGGTTTCACGTGGTATTTTCAACGGTAATTAATGCCTCGTGTAACTCATTCGTTCTACATGGCAGTTGTGAGGCCAATTATGAGAAATGGTATATATGTTCAGTGGATATCTTATAGCAACACCAAGTCAGCACTAAGCGTTATATTGCATTTACTGCCCATAGACTTTTACTACAAGCAAATGACACAGCAGGCAACATTTAGACATAATAAGTCGTGTAATACCCAAATTCGTCCCCCCCCCCCTTTTGCCTTCTCCTACAGAATATAGTGGGATAATGACGAAGTAGACAAGGTCAGAAAGACAAGTATTATATCTTTATGGGCACTTCCATGTTAGATAAACGCTTGGGAGTTGATGTCTTTTCAGAAAAATGAGATACCATAGATGTCTTCCACCAGAACACTGCGAAGATTACTAAGCAAGATAGCCTTCTGGTTCTGAAAAATATGATGCTTACAGAAGGAAATATATTTACTTAAATACATAGGCTTACAGGTTTGAAGCCCCTATCAACATTACGGATATAGCTGAGTCTCTGAGGAAGTAATCCCTAGCTAGCTCAGCAAGCAAACAAACGTGATCAGAATAGAATATGGGCCAACTGTTAAATTTAAGACGAGTGGCTAAAAGTTATATTAGGATCAAATACAACCTATTGATGCAAGAATTAGAAGAAGAGGAGAATATAGACGTTCACTGTACCCAGTCCCAGCATCTATAGCCGATTGGTTAGCAATTATGTTGAAGAACAAAGTTTTTTTTTCACAATGTAGCGAAATACTGTTACCTTCCGAGTGTTAAAAACAACTTCGTTGCAATTTTTCTGCGGAATTTACGATACTTTTTTTAAATATTTTTACGATAAATTAGCTTTATTGATGAGCAGTATAAATAGTAATGGTATTTCATTTAATGTTAGCGGTTGGTGGTTGGTTGATTGATGTCGCTTCTGGCCATTGGCTCACCTAGTCCCCAAAACCCCCTCTCAAACCGGTGCGTGGAGTTTGGAAAACTGAGTAGTTGCCGCATCTTAGCCCCTGCTATCTCGCATTAAAAGCGTATTAATTAACGCTCGTGGTTTTTTTAGAGGGTAAAACTAACAAACAAATTCCAAATTGTATCGGCTGTTCACCTAAAAGATTTCAAATGTGTTGAAAAACCAAAAAGGAAGCTCGCTTAAGAAAAATCTATGACTTCACGTAGTGTGTCGGTTGGTATAGCATAGTCAAAATACTCCTTTGCTAAAAACTGAGGAACTGAAGACAGATATAAAAATAAAATGAAGTGTAGTAACTAGAAGTTTAAGACATCGTAATTTGGATGGTAGGAGTCCACGAAATGCGCGGTTTGGAATAGCCCACTGAAAAGTAGCGGAATACCATCTGGTGCACCAAAAGTAAAATTATTCTCTTTGGCGGAAACGAATAGAAGTTTAGCTGAAAACCTAATACTAAATACGACCCCGAAACACTTTGACTACCGTGGTGTATGACGAATCGTGTATAATGATTTGGGGTTGCCTTTCATATTACGGTATAGGCTTCATATACCGCATAACTATCACAATGGATAGAGATGGAAAATATGTTTAAATATTGGATACAGTTATCTTGCGTTATGCTGCAGACGAGAAGCCTTTAAGATGGGTCTACCAGCAAATTGGTGATATAATTGTTTCTGGGAAATAAGATACAAATAATCGCCTCGCTAACACCATCTGCGGACCTCGACTATATTGAGAACTTGTGGTGAGACATCAAAACAAGCAGATTGGCATGCAAAGCCGACCAGCAACAACGATGTTTAGAGCAAATGATCTTAAATTATTTGGAAAATCATTTCTATCTGTTACTTGTAACTTTTAGTACTTGGTGCTGATATTATTTCGACCGCAGTTGTACATATAATTTAGTATCTGAATATTATATAATACGCAACATTTAGAAATCACAACAGAAAGTAAAAATTTATGAAATTGAGACTAGGAAAAAGCTAACAAAAGAAGAAATAGCTTCTATCGAATACGAGGTTTGACATTTAAGTAATGAGACTTATTTTATTGCCGCGGTTGTGGTAATCCAGCGACATCCCGACATCTTTCTCCTCTCCGATGATATATTTGCCATCGCTCTAGCTTGTTCAGTTCGCTTGCTGTGTCGTGTTGAGTAACGGGTGTTCGTGGTGCTCGTCACGAAAATGGAAAAAACGATGATTATTGCAAATAAGATAATAAGGTAATCGTTTCGCCAACACAATCTGCTGACCACGACTATATTGCTTTGCAAGCTTATCAAGTTCAGCATTAATCTCATTAATTATCTCCTGGTAGATATTAAAGAACTTTTCTTTTAAATTTTTTTTAATTTCTGGAAATAACTAGAAATCACAAGGCGCTAAGTCCGGGGAATACGGTGATGGACTTCGTCGATGCCAGAGATCGCAATAAAACTGCTCGTTATTACAGCAGTGTGGGATGGCACGTTGTTATGATGTTAAAAGTAGCGTCGCAAATACTTTTTCTTCCAACAAATTTTTGATTTCAGTTACCATACGAGTATGACCCTTTACCAGTGGAATAGCTAATACGATTTTAGATCGGGCGAAGTAAATTGTCATCATCATTACTTTTGTTGCTGATTTTTGTTGTTTAGATTTTACGGGTGGGTTTACTCTTCTTGGCTCCATACCATGGTTTGGTTTCTGGATCGTTCTTATAGAAGCAAGATTCGTCACCAGTAGCGACTTTACCAAAGTTGCGAGACTGACCATTTTCGTATTTATTTAGAAAAAATTCTGTAAAAAGCACTCGAACCTCTTTTTGGGGCTCATTTAGAATTCGTGGCACTATTGGAGTAGATTTCTTCGTGTATCTCAGATGATTATTTAATATTCGCCATACAGCTATGGCGCTCAAGCCCAATTCATTAGCGCAATCATTTCTTGTGTCAATTGTGGGACTTCATCGATTTTGGACTTAACCAGAGCTACAGTGACGATATCAGTGCGATCCGGAATCTTCGAAACCCCCTAGAAGTAGTATTTAATGACGGTGCAATCGTTCCATATGCAATTGGCATACACTGAATATTACTACTGGTTGTAAATTTCGCCGAAACGCGAAGAATATCTCATTTCGAATTTCTGCTTGCGTTGGTGGTGGAATTTCATTTGACCTATCCTCAGCTATCTGGCGTTTCTTCGTCTCCATTTTAGCCGAAATGAAGACTAATAAAGTAATTGCAAATGATTTGATATTTTTAGCTTTAACAAAAACAAATTTGAAGTCACCAAGTGACCGAACTTTTGTTAATCCCCTCGTTTATACCGAAAATTGACCATTGCAATCTCGTAGGACGTCTCAATATTAGCTATTTTAAATGGGAAAAGAGCAGATAATAGAATAGTTGTTATCAAAGTAGTTGTTACCTAGCTCCTTTTGTTGCAGGGATTTGGCTGATTTCATGTTATTACGAAATCACTTGGAAGACGTCATCGTCATGTAATTTAAATTTCTTTTCAGTAAAACTTTATGAAATTGCTGTACAAGGCTTTGAGATTTTTGATGAATTTATATATTATAATCTAATTTCCAGAAATTTTTTAAATTCACCTTTGTTTATGCTATGTGTGACTGCTCTTGAAATACAATTTTTATATTCTCCTTTTTGACGCGCATTTTGAAATTAGTTAATTGCAACGTCGGACAGCACCTTAAGTCCAATTATTTATTAAAAAATATAACAACATCTCTCAGGTTTTCAGACAACAACGAATAACTCTGCATGTAAGCCAGCTCTCTGTGGCGGATTTTGACCTTGATTACAATTGATTTTAGTATATTTGAAATCAACGTCAAAACATTATTAAAAATTCTGTATTCAATTGATGAAAATTACACACTTTCATCCCAAAAAAGAATTTGCGGCTAGACATAATGAGCGCCATCAAATAGGTAAACAACAATTTACTGAAACTCATTTCAAAAAGCCGTATGTACATACAAATATGTATGTGTATGTATGTAAATATATATGTTGTATGCCAAGGACAGTACCTTATAAAAGCGCTACATTAACTAAATAGCAGCACTTTTCTAACATCCACACCACTGCTTAAATCATGTCCAAATATCTACGCATACAATATTTTAGTTTTCGGATGATTGGCATTAATTTGTGGGCAAAAAGAGATCAACGCATAATGAGCGCGCCCTACAGATATTGCATCTGGAGCATGGCTACAGCAATTATTACAATTTTAATGGGTTTCTTTATCTACTCAAATGAACAGGATCAGGCTATTACAGTGTTAACGGTATTTCTGCAAGGGGTTCTCTCTGTATTCAAGAGCGGCATGTTTGTTCTGAAGAGCGGACGCTTCATAGAGCTTATAAGAAATTTGGATATGTTGGCAGAGAAAGGTTATTTGAAAGAAAAAAATATGACTCCAAAAGAATAAAGTTACCATATTCTATTTTTAATCTTAATGTTTTAAAGAGCATAGCGCATGGAGACTTGAGAACGATTGGCAGCAACGCATCGTAAGTGTATATTACTTTTGCTGTACGTCTACTGGCATCCTCTACTGTACAGTTCCAGCATTGGTATTACTCTATACACGTTACTTTAGAGAGCAGACAGTATTTATATTGCCGTTTGAAGCTAGGTGGGTGAAAAGTTATTTTGAACATTACTTAAAAAATTATTGGAATTTCAAATTTTCATTCATTTTAATTAGAATTAGAATTCATAATTATTGTAATTTAAATTAATTTTTTACCATTTTCTATCTCCCACAGCTTTCCATACGATACTAATCAACCTCTCTTTTATATCCTCTCCTATATCTGGTGTATATCCTTCATTATATATGCTATACACGCCATTGTCGCGATGGACTCCTTATTTTGTTGGTTCATCTTTAATATTTCCGCACATTTTCGCATACTACAGCAGAAACTGACAGATGTTTCTGTCAGTCCAAACGCCTCCACAGATCATGCGATCTTTCAACAAGATATAACGCAGACTTTATTCTACCACCAGCGTATTATCGAGCTTTCGGCGGAATTCGATGAGCTTTATGCGCCCATTGTTTTCGTAGAAATCTCAGTCAGTTATCTCAAGCTTTGTTTCAGCGCTTATAATCTCATTAATCTTGATGATATATCCAGTTTGCCAGTGATTGCTGTAGGGCTCGTCACAATCACTTTTCAATTGTGTATTTATTGCTTTAGTGGTGAAAAAATTAAAAATGCTGTTAGTCTAAATATTAATATGAAACAATATTGAATGATGAATATTTTATATATCTATTTTTTAACATCGGTAGAGTGAGCAGTTTGCGAACCACATCTATTTGTCGTTTCCTTGGGAACGCGTGCCTCCATCCTTGCGACGTTTACTATTCGTACCGATAATGCGTGCTCAACGTCCAATGCATCTAACGGGTTTTCTTTTTATCGTCGATCATAGTTTGTTGGTGTGGGTAAGTTCGTTTAGCCTAGAAATTGATGGGTTATTAAGAATTTTTAAGCATATTTACTTTTTAGATATTTAAAACGACCGGTTCCATTATTGGTTTCCTTTCCGCGACGAAAAAAGAAAATACAAATATCTAGATCCAAAGTAGTAAGAATTTTTATGGAAGGAGGAGTTTTCGAACAATACAGACTTTCTTATATTTCAATGTATAATTCGTATACCCATGACAGTGATAAAATTTAATAAAAAAACATATGCTGATAAGGAACTACCGCCTACCTAAAATAGTGTAATAATTTTTTTTAACAGCTTAGCCTAAAATTTGTAAGCAGCAGAAAGGGTTGAGATATTTGAGATTAATCTCATAAAGTTCCACCGAATAAATCCCCAATGATTATCAAATCAAATTCGAATGCAATATCAGTTGGAATAATCGGAGTTCTTTGTATTTAGCGTTGATGATGTAGAGCAATAGCAATAGCCAAAAATGTGAGGAAAACCTGTCTTATAGGGAGCATTCCGTTGCATCGTTAACAATCGTCATCAACGAATCGTGCACGTTCCACTTCTCAATATTCCAAATCGGGACTTTTGTTGGACTGTTTCTGCCAGCTCATCTCGAGGATTACCCTCCAATTACGAGACATGGTAATCCTAGTATTCCAATCTGTCAACCGACAACTTTATCGTAAAGATCGTGGTTCCTGATGTTAAATGAGGTATGACAGTTAAGTAATAAGGCTGATTCCATAAAAACCGCGTATTTCGTGGGGAGACATGCATTGTGAGCTTTGGCGTTTGGTTTCCGGGTCGTATTGACAAAAACCAGCTCTCATCGGCTGTAATAATTTGATCAAGCAGCATGGGATCGTTTTCCACTTGTTAAAACAGTCGTGTACGACGGTCATTCGATGCTGCTTTTGCTCCTAGGAAAGGTTCTTTGGAACAATCTTCGCGCACAACTTCCTTATCTCAAAATCGTCGGCTAAAACTTGTATGACTGTTTCACGGTTCATACCCAGTTCCGACGCCAACATTCGAGCTTCGCACTTTTACAATTTTAGCGTACATTTCCGAAGTTGTTGGCGAAAAATTTTATCGTGACTCGTTGCTCTTGATTTCCATTTTGGCGACGAGCACCACGAACACACGTTTAATCAAAAAGATAGAGCGATGGCAATATTTGTGAATGGAGATAAGAAGGATGCCTGGTGAAAGGAAAGGGAATTTCAATCGTATCATGAGGTTAAGAAAACTAAAAGCATCAGTGGTACCAGCATATATTCAATACTGCGTGAACATTTGTTCACGATTGGTCCCACATAATTTTCAAAACTTCAAAAGAGGCTCCTTTTAACAAAAATGTTAAAATATCTATGACATGTGATGAACCGTAAACAGCAGTCCACTCTATGAGTATTAAGGCTGATCCGAGTACAAGAAGAGTTGATTGCATACGAAGCACTTCCAAGCAACACAGAGACAATAATTTTGTGTGGTACACAACCATTTGTTTGCCAGTTGTCTCAAAAATCAGGAAAACCAACCGCTGAAAACGGATCACGGCATTTTTGAGCACTCAACGCATTGATTTGATAATCCAGACTTGGCACCAATTACTTACTTTACTGTCGTAGACACCGCTTACGCGATTATAGCCGAGTTAACAACATTGCAACATTCGTTTCTTCTTTTTGCTGTTTGGTCGCGAATTGGTAATACCAAGAAAAGCCTGATTCTTCTCTACCTGGTCTTTCCAACGAAGGAGGTTTTCCTCTTCCTCTGCTTCCACCGGCGGGTACTGCATCGAAAACTTTCGAAGCTAGCCAATGTAGCCGCTGCTTCTTGATTCGCTGAACTTACAAGTCCCTCATCGTTCCCGTCCTGCTATATGGTGCGGTACATGAACGATGACAACAGCTGATGTGTGAGTGTTAGAAGTTTTCGAAGGAAAGTTTTTGCGCAAGTTTTATAACCCTCTACGGGCTGGGAACTCCGAATACCGCAGTCAATAGATCCATGAGCTGTACGAGATATACCGCGACATTGACATAAATTTTGACTTTTTTCTGCTGCTCCCACTGATGGACGGGTATCAATATCTACCAAATTTGGTTAAATTTTATTGATTAATTCCTTAAATATATCAAACTGATTCAAGAAGTTGGTTAAGTCCGAAGTACCTTATATAGTACAAAGACATAGGTGTTGCCCGATTGCGGTCATGTCCATGTATATAGTATAGCCGAGTATAAAAATGAATATTGTTTATTACCTAAACTGATTGCAATTAATCGACAAAACTTTTCTAACTGCTGAATAGTATTTCAGTTGGTAGCAGCGGGTTAACGTTACTACGAAAGTTATGAGGGATCACTTTCCTCTGAAACCCCATGTCCAGTATCTAATCTTTTCAAGTTTTGTAGTGATACCTTTTATCTATGTACTCGATACAACGTTTTCTTCAGACGATAGTCAGTTTACAACCCAAAATATAAACAATTTTGATACAGTACACCATAAACACCATATCAGCCACTGTTAGACATGTTGGTACACTATCACTTCCACCATATCTGGTAGCAGCAACAACATAGCATTCAATTTGCAAACTAGTCTATCCACCGACCAAACGGTCTCCTGTAGTCATAGAAGTCAATGAACTTGGTCATCGCTATATTGGAGCTGAACATCAGCAAGTGAATGCACCACCGCGAAAAGCAACTGGAACTTGCGGCTGCTGCAGGTTGTGAAATTCCAAGCGAATAAAGTTGAATGCCAATGTCAACCGTTTGAGAATAACCGGTCGGCTATGGTAGTAGAATGCATGCAATTGTGTACATACATACATATATAATTCGAATGTGTGTCGTGTTAGAGTTCATAAATAAACATTTATGTATGTTTGAGTTTGCATGTACGAATATAACTATGCAACTATATTTTCAGTAACTCAGCTGCTTAAATCATTCATAAGGGAATGGTTTCTGGTCACTTCCAAGTGAATGGCAGTCAAAATCATTCCTCACTTTCATGTACTTCTACACATGGTCTCTTAGCCCCCTTGTTGGTTTTTAATCAAGGAAGCGAAGGGAATGAATGGGTCTGGTAGTGAACGATGACGAGACGATATATCTCCTAACGTCAAACTAGCCGTCGACGTATTCGTGGCTTGACTCCCACATCACTGTTGACAGTCATAATTTTAGCCTTGAAATCTAACGCCTTGTTGGTTTGTAATCACTCTTGCCAACAAGTACTTCTTTGTACTGAGTAGACAATTAAATAGTAAAATCCTCTCTCGATGAACTAAAACTGAAATCTACAAGTCGCTCATCATCCCAAGTCGTAATACTATATGGTGCAGAAGCGTAGATCCGATGAGGTGACCCTGGAAGACATCGAGTAAAAAAGCTTTACGAACGATTGTGGTCCTTTAACGATTTCAGGCTAAGTATATCCTCCGATGCTTCGTGTGCGCTAAGATATCTTCCGACAAAAATATAGCTTTTATTAAAACTATATACCTACTTAATAGAAATGACTATTTTACCTTGTTATAAATACAAATACATTTCTGTATGTAGAAAAGGAACTTATAAACCACGGTCTGCTTTTCTTACATAATTAAAGTTCCTATTTGACCATTCAAATATACATACAATACTAAACTATCGTCAACCGAGCTACAAGGTATGCAACGAAAACTAACTGTAATTGAAAAGTGGTTGGGTGAGTATGTAAATATGTATGATGGAATGCCATAAGATACTCATGTTCTGGCAACTCCACTGAGAATCTAGCTACTGACACTTACTTAGGCGCATACTTGAAAAGATAATAAATAGTTTATACTGAAGACGTTGCAACAAGCTTTCAGCCAAATGGATTATAAAATAGCTCACTAAATATATATTAAAGGTAGTATATACGTATATAGAATGATTTTACAATATCTTTTCAGTTAATATCAATAAAAAAATTAACATAATTAATTATATTCAACGAAAAAAAACTACAAAATGACACTTTAAAAATTTCTGTCACTGTCAAGAAACTGTTTACACATTATGTTTTTCTCCTCTGATTTACTATTGTTTTGCCTAAAAAGGTAATTAACCGTTATCTATGCTTCTGTAATTGCTTGCCATGATCCAATTGCATTCCTTTTGGTTTGGTTGTGAAATTTTTCTGTGAGCGCATGCAAACAGTTACTCATAAGAATTTTTAAAATTCCCGGTAAAATCCCGGTTATCATTTGAAGTTAATTAATTGATTTTCTACAACCACCAATGAGTCAAAAATCGGAAGACATGTTTACCGTATCACGGAAAACAATTTACAATGTCCTGAGTCGCGCGGAAAACGAGGAAGCTTAAGGAAGCATGTGACTTTGATGTTTCACACGAAACTGTACGCCTAGCCATCCTGCGGAACAAGTACCGATCAAGAATTGCTGTAAAAAAGCCACTGCTTTCTATGGTCAATGAAAAAAAGCGCTTCACTTTCGCTGTAACAATGGGAAATCTTGCTGCAGAATAATGAGATGAAATCATATTCTGTGAGGAAATCAAAATGATGCTATACTACAACGATGGCCCAACCAGTGTATGGTGTAGGGCGTTGAGTGCGCTCGAACGCAAAGCATCATTTCGACTGTAAAATTTGGCAAACTGTCGGCTATGATTTTGGGCTGTATCTCTTGTCAAGGAGTGGGAATTTAAGCATTTATAGAAATCACCATAAATGTCGTGCTGCATTGTCGAATTTTGGACGCAAATTTGAAGTCAAATGCAACGAAATTACACTTTTTCCAAAAACAATCCAACTTTTAAATTTTAAATGTACAATGATTTCAAGCAAAAGGCGCTTAATGTGCGGGCATGGCTCATATGTAACTGCGGCAACGATATGCCTCCTCAGATCCCCGCTCTCAACCCGATAAAAAATTTTTGGGTTTAACTTAAGAAAAAAGTGTTGAAAAAATCACCCACAAATCGACAAGTCCTAAAATCTGCCATCACAAAATTCAATTGGAATATGACCTGCCAAAGTTAGTCCGATCGATGAAAAAACATCTCCAACATGCCGCAAATGTTAAGGGTTCACACTGAATATTTATGTTAGTAATGAGATATTTTAATAAGACATAAA